TTATTTTCAAAAGTATGGAGACTAAAATAGTCATTGTAATGACGTGTGCCATCTATCCTGCTGCACTACATTTCTGTAAATCCTGTACAGTTTTGGGCCCAAGATCAGGCCATGAACATTTAGAAGTTGTTTAATCATTTAACATCTTCCAACAATTGAAATAACCAAATGTTTGATTCATGTTTTTATTTATGTAAAAAGATAACAAACCCCTTTCTATCACAGTCTGTGTGTATAAGTGTCCTTTGTCCATAAGGTGTAGATGTACAGCTGAGTTTTGTCAGGAGGAGGTAGCTCTCTTGTGTTGAGCTATGTGTCTGTGCAGAGATTGTTTGGTTTCTCCAACATAAAGATTAGAGCATTCCTCACTGCATTGAACTGCATACACCACTCTGCTGGTGACTGGGGGGGGTGTCTTTAGGTTGAACTAGTCTATGTCTAAGGATCTTCTTTGGTTTGAAATGTACTGGGATTTTGTGTTTGGAGAGAATCCTCTTGAGTTTTTCAGAGAATCCAGCAACGTATGGGATGGCAATGTTTTTGCGTTTAATCTCATCAACGTTATGTTCTGCTGCGTGTCTTTTGGATTTGACAAACACCCTTTGGGTTTCCACAGGTTTGAGGAGTATCTTTGATGTTTTTCTGTTGTTTGTGCTGCCCTTCAGTTCTAGTAGGGATGTGCTCGGCCCGATGTTTTAAGGTTCTGATGACAGAAAGTTTTGGTCTGTGTGGGTGCATTTCCTATACACTTCAATGTTGAGCATACCATCTCCTTCTATGCTCACCAAACAGTCCAGAAAAGGTAGCTTGTTGTCATTGGCATCCTCTTTGGTGAACTTAAAGTTGTGGTCAACCGAGTTGATTTGTCCTGTAAAAGCTTCCACTTCTTTAGATGGATTTTGACAAATGTGTCACCCACATATCTAAACCAATGGCGGAAGAGCTGGATGTGACGTCGGAGATGAAGAGCTAATTCTGCAGCTTTGCTGACGCCATCATCAACCTGTGCACGGACTCAGCAGTCTGCTCTGCCCGCATTTCTGCCTGGCAGAACATGATCCAGCCGAACATCTGGCTCCACCTATTCGGGCCTTACTTTAAGTCTGCGCTTGAAAAGCTGCACAAATTTGCAGAGGACTCGGTGATGCTTCGGGACCTGGTGCAGCCTCGGCCCCGGCTCCTGCTTTCCTCGCTCGTCTGGTTGGCGGGACCACCGTAACCAGTTAGAGGAGTTCAGGCGCTCCACGGTTCCTGGATTCTCCTGTTCTGCTCCGTCTCCAGACTCCTCTTCCAGGCAGCAGCCTGCGGCCCCAAGAGGCTGTCATCTGCTGAGAGGACAGAGGAGGCAGCCCAAGAAATTACATGCTGGGGGGAATATGTGTGATTCTGAATCTGTCAACTGTATTGAAATAAAACACAAAAAATGCTCTGAGGGCAAGATTCCATCAGATTCTAGCCTTGCAGTCAGGTCGGACGAGCTGACTGCAGTTTCATTCTCGTACCTTCTCCACACAGTGAGCTGGTGGCCTCTAAACTTCTGTTTCAGAGGCACCGATTCCTCACGAGTCCTGAGTAGAGTGTCTCTCCCACTGCAGACGGGAAAACTCCTTGGCGGCCTGAGCCCAGATAAGCTCTCTGTGCTCAGTCTAGGCTTACGCATGCAGCAGATCCCCCCTCTCTCTCTCCCCCTCTGGTGGTGTAACGTCTGGTGGAGCTGCTCAATTTGACCAGCATGCTAACAGAGAGGGTCCCCGCTCTCAATCAGAGATATTAGGGTTCATACTATGGAAGAAAAACAGTCTCATTGGAATCTTCCTTATTTTTTTTTTAACACCAAATTTTTTTAGACATTGAATTCCTTACACTCAATT